GAAGGGGGCAACAGGGAGGAAGGAATGGCTGTTTGTTAATGTTGCCTTAAGCTAAACTTTAATGAAGTGCAACACTTAAGATGCTTGCGTGCCTCAATTATGTCCACCAAGCTCACATGTTGCCTTTCCAATTATGTAGGCTAAAAAATGAGGTACGTGTGAAGAGACTGCTGCCTGCTCGTTACCTCTCTCTGTGAGTAGTAATTCTGCTTTCTTTCAGCTGCTTGGGAGTCAGGTGTACTTGCATACACAGGGCTTCAAACAGCAACAGCCAAACGGTGCAAACGCGCCACGCGGTGCGGGGACGGGATCGCTGTGGAAATGAATTTTAAGCAGGGAAATAATGTGCGACGTGAGCCGCAAGCCGGGCTTAGCGCCGGAGATGCTGTTCTGCAAGCATGGAGGTGAAGCTTGGGAAGGCTCGAAATGTTGTCTGGTGTCTGAGGGTGTTGCTTACTGACGGTTGCTGACCTTGAAGGGACCGAGAACTAGCCAGATAGGTGACTGTGCTATGAATGTTAGTGCTACCTTTCTAGTAGGACTCTGCTGCTCCTTCTGCAGAAAGCTCGATTTTCCTGTTTCTGATCATCCCGTTAGGTTATACGACGCGTCCGTCTAATGTAAAACAAAAATCAAATATGGTTCAGAAAAAAAGTCTCCTTTTTACTGCACTAGACACACAGAGGCTAGATAATAATTTTGGAAACCAGAAGTTGTTTTGTTTACCCAGTCCATTTTTATTATTATCATTAAGTGGAAAAAAAACTGACAGACAAAAATTCCTTCAAAATTGTGCAATAATAACAGCAGAAATCAGTGAATGAAAAAAAAAAAAAGACACAGTAGCAATTCAAATGGTATCGTATTAAACTTCACTTAAGGAACCCGATTAGAAGTTGACACTACCTCTAAAAAACTCATTATAGACTGGATGCTTGTAGACTGCTGCACGTTTTGAAGGATTAATTGTAAATGTTATAGCTAGTTCCAGTAATGAAGATGCTCTCTGGGTCCAAGAGTAACTCACTCAATTGCACCATTTCCCTTCTGAAGTCCATTTGAAGGAGACTTGAAAGCTGTTGTGGAAAATGTTATTTTGGTCTTTCCTGAACACAGTTTTACATTTCCACCAGGAAATTGGTGAAGTTTGTCATTAAACACTTCTCTGTCCCTACAAAGAGATTTCAAGCATATGCAGATCCTAAGACTGAAATCTGCCCCGCGAGGAAAGGGTGTGCTGCTGCGAGAGCCGCTGGCTCAGGTGAGGGTTCTCCGGTGCCTAATGTGAGTCTGGGGCTGCTTTTGGACTCCAGGAACAGGATTAGTAAATAATCCTGCCTTGGCGGTCGTCTGGGCGAGGCAGATCGCTCTCCACCCAGACAGGAGCTTTCAAGTCGCTTCTCCCAGGGTTTCTAGAAACCAGCAGGAAGCAATACCATTTTGAGACCTGAAGACACAAAGGTCCTTTGGTCAGGAGGCCAAAAGAGGATGGCGTGGATGTCGGTAGCCAGCGTTGTCACGGCATGCGCTCCCTCGCACTCGCATGCTCTCTCCTCCCCTTTCCGACTGGGTATGCGCTCGTATACATCTATATGTAACTTGATCTCTATCCAAGGAAAATAGTCTTATCCCAGTACTAAATCTGCAGCTCTCCTGCTAATGCTGTGTCAAGGTAGGAGCACGTGGTACAAGTTACGGCAGGGTTAGCCGGGGCGTGAACTTACAGCGCGCCAGCTATTCTGCAGATGAAATATCTGCATGCGCAGTTTTCCCCTGCGGTCCACACGACATGCGTCGCTCCCCTCTGAAATTTCGCTTAGCTGGGGTACGAGCCATCGGCCGAGCAGCGGAGGAGCCGTAAGCTCGTGCTCCGGCTGGCTCCTGTGTGCCCGGAGCGGGTGCCGGGCTCTGCGGAAGCGGTCGTGTGTGCAGGTCGTTGCGGGAGCTGGGGCGAGCAGCGCGCCGCAGCCATTTCACGGAGGAGGCAGCCGACGGCCCAAGGAGTGATGTGATTTATTCAGGCTGAAAGAATCGCTTTTTTGACCTTGAACAAATGTTCAGATCTCAAGCCTGGAAAATGGCACCTCCTGGTCTTTTCTTGTAAAAACCAAAATCCTCACCGCAAAAAAAACGCATAAAAAAAACCCTCAAGAAAACCCGAGCCAGAGAAAAACAAACCTCACGGTCCAAAACGCCATCAGATTTTAGTGTTCAACTTTAGTTTCTTGTTCAAATGGACTTAAGAGTACCAGCAGGCATCTGCAGTGAAATCTGAAATGGATGCAAACACAAATTACCTGGAAGAAGTTCCTCCTAACCGGGGTACTTCCTGTACCCCTTTTTTTCCTTATGGATCCAAACATTTCACTGGGTTCCTATGAGGTAAGCTCAAGTCACCTCGTGAAAGGTTAGGGTAACGACTCATGTCGTGTTGCATAAGGCTACTGAAACAAAACCAGAACAAAATAGCGTCTGCATCCATGTACCATATTTATACCAGAACCCTCCCACCCCGCATACATCTCTGTGAACAAGATTCTGTGCTTCAAAAGTTCATAAAAAATATACAGTTTACCCAGAACTGCATCTGTCTTCCTTGCTCCCTGCCTGGGGCTTAGACTTCTCTATTTGTATATAAAATACGCTAGCCCTGTGAAGTTGCTTTGCTGAGAACACAGCGGTGATTTTTGCAATGAAAGGAAAGTTTCGGAGGGTAGGGTGCGCCTGTGCATGACAGTACTGTCCCCATAAGGTAAATTCAGCTTGGCACAAAGCCTGCCTGCTGCAGTGCCCCCAAACCCCTGTGCAACGCAGGGGCGACTCGGCGGACCCGGCGCAGAGGGCTCGGTTCCACCCGCGTTGCGTTAGTGAGGCACAGGTAACGGGGCGCGTTGCTTTTGAGTACAGCTGTACAACCAAATGCTTTGCTGGCAACAGACTGAGCTCCGTACGAGTGTTGCTGAGCCCCGGGTACAAAGGAGCCTTTCAGCGTGGCCAGAAGTGACCTGTCCCCCAGCTGATGCTTGAAAGCACCCAGCCATGGGATTTCTGCAGAATATAAAGCGGTTACAAGGGTGCCCCTTGGCATCTGTCTTCCAGATAGAATTTAGCCCATCTCGTGACTCTACTTGCCGTACTCGAGCGGGATTTACCCTGGGGGAGTAAAGTAGCGGTATTTAACCAGTAGTAATTCTCACCAGAGAGGTACCATCTTCTGGGATACTATACTATAGTCTTCCATTACCTGTGCCAGAAATATTTGCTTAACAAGGAAGGGGTTCAATATTCCTTATCTCTGCTGTTAGGCTTTCTTTCCTGTATAAAAGCTTTTGATTTCTATCTTTAGAATAGTTTAGTCTCTGGGTCACATTCTGCTCTGTCTATGTAGCTGTAATTCTAGGCAAGTTGAGCTATACATGCTGGGTTGACTTACTCAAAATTTTTACTCCTGAACGGCACCTGACCTACTAACAAGGTAAAAATATTGCAACGCTGCAAGCTCGCTGCTACTTATAAAAATCTGATTATAGTTTGGTCCCAGCTTTGGGGGGAAAAAACTGTCACCGGGAATGATCATGCCAGTAATTGAAAATAGAGTTAGTATTTCTATAGAGTATCAAACCATACAGAACTTCAACATTTTATACATTTTCTGTATGTGAAATTAAATGGATCAGTCACGTATCAAAACATAGTTGGCCTCTCTCATTTCAACTGTAGGAAGACTGCAATTATAACTTAGTTTACACTGCAAAAATACTTTTGGTTTAAACAAAGAAAACAGCGTGACAAGACAATGTGCTGTATTTTACTGGTGTGAAGCTTTGCATATATAGAGCACGGACAGGCGTGACCCGTGAACATCCACTCGTGTCATCGCTCTTGGGTTGGCAAGTAGTTGGTGAGATTCACGTTTTGCTATCACAAAAAAGAGCTTGACAATGGTAACCAGACATTTCTACTGCTTAGCTCTGTAGACAGTATTATGTCTACTGGAAACGTGAGATGACTAGCGATGGGAAAATAATACGTATGCGTGTATATATATGTTACTTCTAAAGCTGAAGGTACAACTACAGCTACTTTTAGGAAATGCTAATGAAGGAGGATTGAATCCCTGCTGTAAACCAAATGAATTTGGATGTTTAGTAATTACCGCTCTGTACGACCTTGGAAAATCTGTATGCAAAGTTGCGCACAGTGGAGGCTCCCCCTTCTGTCCCACCGACATATTAGCATCGTAGAGAAGCTCCACGGAGGAAAGGTGTCCTGACTAGCTGGCAAGTACGTTTTAAGGTGTGCGCTGTAATTCAGGTAGCGGCAAGTTTTTTCAGTGACGCTGCTGACGTACGCTACGGATTAATTAGGCCACGCGTGATGGGCCTGGTCAGCAGCTCGCTAACCGCAGGTGCCCTCCGAAGGGGTTTGGGCAGCGGTGGGAGGGTAGGGCACGGCGTGGGCTGTTGTCACAGCACACCTGAAAGCGAGGGTCAAAACTGCAAAGCCTGGGCGCTTGCGCAGCGCTGCAAAAGGATGCTGCGGCGCTGCTGCCCAGGAGTATCCGCTCTCCTGCGGGCAGAGCCCCAGGAACCCTGCTGCTAATGGCCCGTGGCTCGTCACGCCCACGTGCGAGGGTTTGCGTGACCCTTGGCAGCACGGCTTGGTAGGGATGCTTTCGGCTTTGTAGGTATGGCAGCAGGAAGCTAAACTCATACGTAAAGTATGTGCTGTAGTATCTTGACTTGGGCTCTGCGATTGCAGTAAGATTGTGTCTTTTAATAAGGGGGAAAAATACGTAAAAATAAGGATTTTTATTATCGTGGCAAGAACAATGATGGGGATGCCAAGATACTACTGCCTTGGAAGATAAAGTGGCACATGTTCTACACAATAATGTGTACAATGTCTGACGACTTTGGAAATCTGTTCTCAAGCAGATTTCCCAATAAATTAACACAACAAAAATACTTTCATACAAAACGAAGTCCAAAGGATTTTTTTAAAGTAAAAGCAAAAACCTTCAGGGACTATATTACTTATCTCTCTCTACATATATAATCTCCTGAAATTTTTTTAAATAAATTTATTCTTGTCTTAGAAAAATAAAATGAGTAGCCAATTTAGTCAACGGAAAATATCTCACAGACTTAAAAGCATGCCCAGCAAGCATAGCCTTGTAAGACTAAATTAATGTTAAATCAAAGCAATTTGTTACTAAACCAACCTAGTCTGCAATTCACAGTTGATTACTACAAAGTGTATTTTTAAATTTTTTTTGGCCCATATAAAAATAACATATTGCAACTCAAAGTGCATTTTTAAAATAAACAATCGACTATTTTTATCAAATAAAATATTTACACCATTTGGTTTTTACAGTCAGAAATGCGCTTCATGCGATGACCATGGGAACATCATCTGAAAATCCAGTTATCACTGGGGCTTCGTCATCCTCATCTCCTGAAAAACAAACCCAGAGTGCTGTTACGCTGCCCTCAGCGTTTCACGGGGCACGACCGAACAGGCTACCGAAGCTGGCCACAAAACTGCCCTCCAAACCAGTATATTGTGGCCTTGCTTGTGCTCTTACCTGGTAGTTATTGCTGTTATATTCAGGTTTTAACTGATTTGCATTAGAAGGAGTGGTTTAAGTGAAGTTGCTAAAAACATTTATCCTGGGCTAGCTTTGTACTCTTAGGACAAGATCACATCCATAGAGATTTTTATGCCAAAGGTGGCCCAAAGCATGACAGAGAAGTTAGGTCTTGCACCGATTTCACATCCTTAAGGCTGTCCTGAAATGCTATTGCGTGAAACCAAGGGCTACGTACCTAAATCATCTCCCGAGGAGAATATGGCCGAGCCCAGGCGGGAGCTGTAGTGGCTGTTTGCAAAGGCAGTGAAGCTGTTCTGCAGCCGCCTGTGCCTCATGTACAGCACCACGAACCCAATCCCGAGGGACACGAGCAGCAGGAACAGCACCGGTACCACGATGGCAGCGACGTCTGTGGATCTACCGGATTTTGCTGCAGAGGAGTCTTCACCTACGGTTGAGGGAGGGAAAGAAGTGCCATTAGCAACCGACGGCACATGTCTCTAGTGAGCTTGTGAGGCTTTCGTTACTCTTTAAGGGGGATGGGGAAAATGCCAGGGACTTACCAGTTCCTAGTTCATCGTAGAGAAGTGTGGCCGGCTTGCCACACATCTGCCCGCTGTACAGGCACCTGGCCTGCACGGTGAATGAATAGTTGTGACCTATCTTCAGGTTGGAAACTTTGAAGAAGTTTTCGGTGGTGTTGCCGAGATAAGCAGTGATGTTCATCAAGCTGTCAAACATGTGAATCTCGTAACCCTGGGAATTGTGAAAACAAAGACACAAACCCCAAATCACTCGGCTGCAGAGGTCAGGTTTGCTCCTTCTGACAGGGCTTTGAACCTTGTTTTTCCTCCTGAACCTAGCTCCGATGAAATGCGTTGGGCTATCAGCCAGGAGAGCGCAATGCGGAGCCTGCTCCAGGCATCCGTCGCTGTGCGCTGACCTTGGCCAGTTCAGGGCGGGGAGAAGATTTCAGTCTGTCTGGTTCGCTCTGTTCATAGCATCTACCCGAGACCACCCAAAACACAGAGTCCAGTAACGGTGATGGCTTTTTTGGCGTAGTTTGCTACATGCGTGGGCCCTGACAGAGAACATCACAGATTTTCTACCAAAGTCTAAATAATGACAACTTTCAGATGCTACCGAAGTGCTTCCCGGCACGGTGGGGCAGTGTCCTATTCCCAGCCCTCTCACACGTGTGACAGCTGACCTTTTTCCACAGGATAATTATGTTCCTAAAAGGTGAACGATTGGCTCTATCAGCTTTAGTGCCTTAGTCGTGACATGAATTGGCGTGAGCTCTGGGTACAGGGCTCATCAAGGACACCTAGGGGAGCAGAGCGTACTGGTGTATTTCAGAGTCTGCAAAAGCAGCCTTGCAGTGCCTCTGCTCTAGGTTTTTCTGTAACACTGCCTGTAGGGTGGGAGAGACAGTGCAACTTACCCGGCTTTCATTGAAATTACTCTCCTTTAATGCCAAACTCTTCCAAAAAAGCAGAATATGGTCATTTTCTGTTATAATTTTTAAGGCGTCTGGTGCAGACAGTGGAACTGCAAATGAGAAAAAATGGTAGGCAGGTTAGGTTTTGACGCCGGTGACATTTTTCTTTTGGCTGAGAAACAGCCATGGGGTTGCTTCTGAAACTTAGTATTTTTTAGGGATCGGCACGATACCCTGCTCAGAAAAGGGCTGTACTGGAGGAGAGGATACTGTGGCATGTAATCTGGCAGGAGTTTTTCAGTGGGTTTTTATGGCAGGACCGTAATGGTACTTCACGGTGTCTACACAGCCAAACAGGTGTCTTTCCCATCTCCATCTAGGCAGGAGAAAAACTCCCCGGCTACCATCCGAGAGGCTTCCTCTCTGCTGCTGTTGTTCGGGAGTTTAATGGCCTGCCCTGGGAGCTGCAGGAGGGCCTCTCAGAACTGGGCTTTGGCTGTGGGAGAGGACTAAGTGATGCCGAAACACTAGTGCAGGCTCCAACCTGCACGGCGGTGGGACGGATGGTGTGTGGGACGGCTGCGGGATTCCCTCTAGTGGACAGTGCTGCAAGGACTCACCCGGGCACCCTCCCAGTAGTACTCCGTCTTTTACCTGTGTTGATCTTCATGCTGGATTCTTTGCTCATATTTCCCAGTTGAACAATCACGTGGTATTTGCCTCCCGGTTCAAGTTTCTTAATGGTGTACTCCACCGTGCTGTTCCGTGTTTTCACTTTGTAGATTTTATCTGTTTTTCTTACTAAATCTTTAACTGCGACAGCGTATAACTGGAGGGGGAGGAAAGGCACACACAGTGAAAGACCTTACTTTCCTGCAGACTTGCTAGCAGTCTCGTACAATGGTAGCACATTAGACGCGGGGGGGGCAAAATTTAAATTAAACTATGCCTGCGCTCTACAGAAAGCCTGGGAAGTAAGTTTTCGAGCCTCTTGCTGGACTAGCTGGATCCCTGCCTGAGATCAGTATTTACAGATACCGAAAATGCAGTTACTGGAACAGATGAGGGCAGGAGGAAAATCCCGGGCTGTATTTCTTAATGAATCAGAAGGACGCAATGCAAACTCCTGCCCTGTCAAAAGTTTCCAGTTTTGCCGGGAAGATATATACCTTTAAACCTTTGCCGTTAAAGTCTCTGGACCAGAATAGGAGCAGAAAGCTTGCTGAGAAAATGACTCGCCTTCAATGGAGCGAGACCTGACTGTACGCCAGCATGCCA